ATCATTTAGAAGCGGACTTCCTATCTGAATAAAAACGGGAAAGAACAGGTTGCCAAGAGCCATGGGGAAGATTGGAACATAAATCTTGTGTCAGATGCGCTGCCGATCTGACCACCTGGAATTTACCAGACTTTGGACAGACCTGAAGGAACTAGTTTAAAAGCACTGATTTGAAGAAATTGTTCTCCGTCGTTGGTCCTAACAAAATTCTCCATTTTTGATCTTTAATGTAAAAATACGGATAATACTGTTACACAAAACGATAAAAATGTCTGTTGTTACTATTGGATTTTGACCACGAATTCTCAACTTCAACCATACAGTAAAGTACGTTGGAGTCCCTCACGTTCCTGTGACCTTAATGCAGTTGCAGTAGCTGTAAATCTCTTACCTCTAAAAGAAACAAGAAAACCAAAAAAAAAAACAGGGAATGAAAACAATATAAAAAGAAGAAAAAGTAGAAAGCAAAATCCAAACCATTTCCATCAAAACAAAAAACTTACGCCATTAGGTGGTGGAGAGTGTGGATGCCAGGCAGCTGGTGCAGCAACGAGCACGGGAAACATCCCAGGCATTTGATCTCTTCCTGGCCAGACAGGGGGAGCGTAGTCGACACCTGGAGGTGCGTAGTCTACTGCGAGAGGAAGATGACGAACAGGCAGAGGTAGATGATTGACAGGCAGAGGAAAGAGAAGAACAGGCAGATGACTTGCAACAGGTGATGGATCGATAGGCAGAGCTAAGGGAAGAACAGGCAGATGACCTGCAACAGGTGCAGGATCGATATGCAGAGCTAAGGGAAGAACAGGCAGATCACCTGCAACAGGTGCGGGATCGACAGGAAGGTCACCTGCAACATGTGCAGGATCGATAGGCAGAGGTAAGGCAACAGGTGCAGGATCGATAGGCAGAGGTAAGGCAACAGGTGCAGGATCGGTAGGCAGAGGTAAGACAACAGGTGCAGGATCGATAGGCAGAGGTAAGAGAAGAACAGGAAGAGGTGCAGGGTCGACCACGACCTCCAGAGCTGCTACCTCATTTGCTGGAGCAGGGAGCTCATCTTCTTGTTGCCCTGAAAAAGAAAAACATACAGTGCGTGAGTGAAACTCTCTTCACAACCCTGCATCTTCTGGTGGCTTTTTGCTTCACGACGTTTTGCTGTAACTATTTTACGCGGTATTTTGTTTTCGTAAGAGGTTTTAGTTGTAGTTTTAGTAAGTTTTACGGCACTTGCAACACAATAAGGTCATATAAGTGCCGAAGATTAGGTGATACAGGAGAGTACAAAACATAAAAAGTAGGAGATCAGGACAATAGATGTTCGATAGGAAAGAAGAAGCAAACCACACCTACCAGAGTACCCGCCAACCACCCACTTCATAAGCGTTTTACAGCACTTGCTTCACAATAAAGTCATAAAAGTGCCGACGATTAGAAGTTTTGATTGATTGATTAGGTGTTTTACGGCACTCTCGACCCATTGAAGATTTTTTTAAAAAATAGTAGAGGGATTTACGGCGCTCGCAACTGCATTAGGTCATATGAGCGCCAAGGGTTCGGTGTCAACAGATAAGTCTTTACATGGAATCAGACTTACTGCTCACCTCTCTAGCTTCAACAGCACAAGGTCTGCTTCAACTATCAAGGCACCCCGGAAGTAGCAGGTCTCAAAAGAGTGACGAACATACAAAAGAAGTAGAGGAAAATAACAATAGCAAGGATTAGGAAAGAAAAAGCAGCAGTTAACTGTTGTAGATCAGGCACAGTTATGAGCGTGACATGAATCAGCCCATTTACAATTCTACTGTGCTTGAACTAGAAATGTCCCCCCTTTGGGAATGGCCTAAAGACACTACAGTCAGTGGCACTGCCCCGGAGGGAATGAAGATTAGATGTGTTATAAGGAAGTAATAAACACAAAAAGAAGGAGGGGAGATAAGGACGATAGATTGATTGATAGGAAAGAAGGAGCAAACCAAACCAGAACACCCGTTAACCACCCACACACAATAAAAAGTAATAAGCACGTACAAAAACACGTTTCACACACGCTCTCACTCTCACTGTCTCTGTCTCTGTCTCTGTCTCTGTCTCTCACTCTCTCACTCTCTCACTCTCCAACTCTCTCACTCTTTCGCTTTCTCACGCTTCGTTCTCTCTTTCTCTCACTTATGCGTGCGAGCGCA